TAATCACAGCAACAGAAAAGTTGTAGAAAAGTAACTAATACAACACCCAACAGTGATTTCTGCCTCAACACACACACACACACGTGAACATACACGTGCACACATATGCACATGCACACATACATACATGCACATACACACTCATGCACACACGTGCACACATGCATGTAGGCACATGCATACGCACATGCACCCCCCACACACACATATACACGTTACATGCTTCTGGGAAGAATCTACTTGAATCACTAAGGAACACTTTACAGTTACTATAATATTAGTGGACCTCCAAATCAGCCCATAGACAGGACAGGAACGGTTTTATTAAACCATATTTAAACTACGTCCTGAACATTTTTTTTGTTCATTACTTTGAAGAAAGTCTGAGCTCTCACTTTGCAGTTAGTTCCCTTCAATAATCTCATACTGACTGTTATTGTTCCTGTGTTGTTGGGGGCTTGATCCCCCATCTGGTATGCTATTTTGGGAGGTTCTGAAACCTTTAGGAGGTGAACTCAGCTGGAGGAAGTACCTCACAAAGGGCTTGTCCCTGGGGGATGTATTTTGTCCTGCCCCCCATCTATGCATGTTTCCTGTTCAGTGTAAGATGAAATACACACTTTTATCACTGTGATAGTCACATGGGACCAATCAACCATGGACTGAGCTCCCTAAAAAAATCATGAGTGAAAATAAAGTCTTCCTCCTTTAAATTATTTTTCAAATTATTCAGTCATGGTGACAAAAATCTGACATACTTACCTACTTAAAATTTTGTATTTTTCTCATATTCTCTCTAACTAGACAAGCACATAAATTACATTAGATTCGGTTCTGTGTTTGTCCTATGCCATACCTGATCTTTTCTTTCTCTGAGTTCAGAACTGTACAGTTGTGCCCAAAAGGGTACAATTATTAAGACAGAGCTAAAGTAGATGTCATGAAATCTAGAGGCAAACAAAGACCAAAATCTTGAAAGTTCTTATAAACCTAATCAAGGAATTTGGAGTTTATCTTCAAGACAGTAAGGACCCATTAACATACTTTCATTTCAGAGATGGCATCCTTAACATTCACCCTTCGCATCCTGACCACAGTGGACTAGAGGAGGCAATGTTGGAAGAATAGTGGCTCTTACTATTGCTGTCACCAGGTTGGGAAGTAAAGATGACTCCAACCAAGTTATTAACTATTGGAACAAAGAAAGATAAACTAATTCAAAGTGTGGTTATAAAGTAGAAGTGTATCATCTGAGAAATGGGGGGACATGAAAAAGTTAAGGCTGTACCTACGATGTGTCTGTATTGCTGAAATACAGATCAGTAGAATAAGGCTGACATAGAATAAAGAGAAGGGTCAGTGGAGGATGAAGGCATAGAGAAGTGAAGTATTCAATTTTGAACACACAACTCAGTGTTTGGTTTGACTTCTGCTGGGACATCCATGTGTGGATAGTTATGTGGGTAGGTTGTTGGTCATAGTAGTCTGAAGTCACATGGGGGGTCAGGGAAAGTGTATGGTTTAGGAGTTGAGGAGGTAACTCAGTGGCAGAGTATTTGGCTAGCACATACAAGGTTCTAGGTTCCATCCCTACACTGGGTCAGTGACAGGGATTGGAATCTGGGCAATAGTGAAGAAACAGAATTATCAACACATGAAATGGAAGCTATGAAAATGGACAAATTTTTCCAAGAGAAAAATGTAGTTTTAAAGCCATGAAAAAAATCACCACAGTAAAAATTCAATAAACTCTTTTCTCATTGCTTGATTTTGTCTCCAAGACCATTATGTCAAATCATTTATACTTCATCTGGGAACTTCTGATATTTATTTTTCAATTCAACAGGGTTTTACTAGTTATCTTAATTTTAAATAAAGTAGAATAGCTTTTTAATGCAGGGGATTAAATTATAAAACAAAAATTATATTTGAAATTTTCTTATATTGCACCAAGTACTACATGCAGGAATATCATCTTAATAAATAAAACACAGTCCTATTGTACTTCATTATTAGAAGAGATGGCTGATTCTTTAATTTGGACACAGATAAAGAAATTAGTTTATATTTGGTTGCTATATTCTAGATAGATGATAGATGATGATAGTAGATGATAGATAGATAGATGATGATGATGGTAGATAGATAGATAGATAGATGATAGATAGATAGATAGATAGATAGATAGATAGATAGATAGATAGATAGATAGATAGATGACAGATATAGATATACATGTTATATCTCCCTTATCAAAAAGGCTTAATACTAGGCTTGGCAGATGCCACCATCCCCTGTAGCTGCATGCTGTCAGCCACGGTTAACCCCACCATGTTCTTCACCATCACAGTCAATGGGCTATGTCTCCTAGTTGTTAGTAGACAAAGTTCCAAATTCATCAGAAAACATCCATGTTCTGACCACTGGAGAGAAAGGATTCAGTTTTAAGGTTTCTACCTTTGATGGAATTAGTCCAGGATTCACGTGCCAGTGTGGTAACTTTACCCGTCATAATGGCACTGGTAGCAAGTTCATCTATGGGGAGAAATTCGAGGATGAAAACTTCATCCTGAAGCATACAGGTCCTGGTACCTCGTCCATGGCAAATGCTGGACCAAATACAAATGGTTCCCAAGTTTTCATCTGCACTGCCAAGACTGAGTGGTTGGATGGCAAACACGTGGTCTTCAGGAAGGTGAAATGCATGAGCTTCGTCGAAGTCATGGAACACTTGGGTCCAGGAATGGCAAGACCAGCAAGAACATCACCATTGTTGACTGCGGACAGTTCTAAATACTTTTGACCTGTGTGCATCTTCACCACCAGACTACCTCTTCTGTAGTTCAGGAAAACCTCTGCCCCATGTGCTCATAGTATCCCATAATCTTTGTGCTCTCACTGCTGGTCTTTGGAGTCCATATGTTCCTTATTCCCCTCCAAGTACAGCTTGATTACAGAATTACATTTATGATTATGAAAAAAAACTAAATAAGGGGAAAATGTTCAGGACGAAAAGTGTGGTTTTTTTCTAGACTTTAGAAAATCTGCACATACCTAAGAGAAATCCCTGGTGAAAGACCCAAGCCAAAGCACTAATTCATGTTACATCTATATAATTTTCATATAAACTTACCTGGAGATAATTTCATGTGAAACGTTTTAAACACTGGTTCTTTGACTATGTCTTGACACATAAGCTCAGAAGTGAGAGTTTTCTACTTGTGGCTTCATGTAGCCAGAACTTTAAAGTATAAGAATTGCTGGATACTGTGGCATATTCCAGTAATCCCAACACTTACACTTAGAGAAGATCAGGAGTTTATAGTCATCCTTGGCTACACTGTGAATTTGAAATGAACTTGGGCTACATGAGACCGCCTCAAAAATTAATTAAATGCAATAGAACAGTTAGACTGAGCACAGTGAGATGGGTGAGATGCTCACACTACAAGCAGCACAAGGAACAGAAGATTATTCCACTTGAGGACTACAGAGGCATATATATGCAGATTATTATTTCCAAGTGAACCCACCAATCCAATGTATAGATTTTGGATTCTAAGAACAAGAGTTTATCAGCTAAAAGCCAAGAAATATGAAGAGACTGTGCAGCTAAAAATATTTTAAAGAACATACAACTAAAATTAGGGGTGGTGGTCTATATGGTAGACCCAGCTACCTGGGACACTGAATTGGGAGGATGAGTTCAAGCCCCCAGCCTAGGCAAAACAGTAAGACCTTGTTTCAAAAGAAAAAAGTGGGGAGCAGTAAGAGCATGTAATTTCTAGGAACCGTAAGCAAGTTAAACATTTGGGATCTGACTATGTGTCATAAAGAATCTGAAAAGTACCAGAGATTTTTAAAAGTCAAAGCATAGGCCAGGGTCAGTATGCAAGTGAACAGATTCCCATGATAGTTTGATGCAAAGATCAGGTCTCCAACATTTCCCTGACACTGAAGGTCCTGATTTCCAGGAAAGCCATCCTGAGATATAGCACACTTAGGTAAATTACTAAATGTAGCTGTGACAAGGACAGTAACCTTGTTCCTCAAATGTTTAGTATAAGTCAGGCACAGATCCAAGAATTTCACAATATTTAATTTAACAGCAACCCCATGAAGTGTTAATGATATCATTCCCATTTCACATGGAGCTGAGTACAGTGAGTCCCACTTGCCCCATGTTACACAATAAGAATGAAGCAAAGACTAGAAAGTAACCCCAGCTAGTATACAACGCATACTACTGCTCGCATTTAACAGGGAAATATTGGTGCTTCAGTGGGAGATCCCTCCATAGATGAATGCTACTGTCCTGTTCTGACTTCACGAGGGCTTTGTGACTTTCCTTGTCTTTCAGCTTTTACAACTCCTTAAGCTGTAGAAAGCAGAGAGTAGTACAAACATTCTTGTTTCGATACGTACATGAATTCTGTATAGCAAAGGTTCAAATGGCTTCTCTTCCTCACTATGGAAGAAGCTGACTAGGCCACCATTTGCTATTCTCGATGTCTGCTCTCTGCATGTCTCTGCTCTTGGGATTAACTGTAACATCTTACGTCTTCCTCATTAATAATGTAAAAAAAACCTTCACATGTGCTCCCTTTATAAGTGTCAGAATTTTCTCTTTTAAAATTAGCACTTATGATACTTACTGGCCTAGATTATATAAGTTTCTAGCCTGTCTCCTCTTTGCTGTTAATGCACTATGATCAGCTCTCTGTATCCAAGAGTTCCCATTGGAAGATCCAACCAGCGATACATCCAAGAAATAGCTCTTTAAAATTGTGTCTGTAGTGAACATATATAGAGTTTCTACCCTATGCCTTCTTCCACCACCCCCCCATTTTGCTGTCATTATATAGTCCAGACTGGTCAGGAACTCATAATCTTCCTTCCTCAGCCACACAAGTACTAAGCTTACAGGCACATGCCACCACACCTAGCTCAGACATTTTCTTCTTATTCTCTATTATACAGTATAACAAAAATTTACATTTACCTTGCACTCAATTAAGTCATGAGTGATGATTTAGAATGTCTAGATATTGTGTACAGACACATAAGCATCCTTGGGGACTCCCAGTACCAATCCCCTGTACATAGAAAGAGACAAGAATACCTAAATTCTCAATATAAATACATACATAATGAGCAAAGGTGTATAGCACACTTTGAAAATGTTTCTCTCTACCTAAGACGCTCTACCACCCTCCCTTCTTCTGATATAATAAGCATCTGTGTCTATGTCAGTCCATCTTTCCAACAGCTTCAGAGAAGCCTACAGTAAAAATGGTTTGTAATTTTTCCCATTAATTTTTTACTAATGGATTTTAGTTGTTTTTTAGTTGTGTTACAAGCAGTGCAACAGTAAACATCTTGGTGCATCTACTTGATGGCATTTTCTTATAAATTAACTACCTCTGTAAACACTGTTAATATTATTGAGCATGTAATTTATACCTCTTAAAGTTACTGCTTCAAAATCTAGTTTGGCCATCCCAAGTAATTTTCCTCCACTTCTGTGTACATTGACATCTTGGTGCTCTGGAATTCTTGAGAGTCATTGATGGAAAGTAGTTTTCTAAATAGGAGAAACCCTGAGTGAGATATAAATGAGACCTAATATGACAAACCCATTTTCAATGGGTGAGTTAGTTTCACATAGGAAAAAACCTTTTCAAAGCATAGACAAAAACATAAATTCCATCATTTAAAAATATTGTTAATCATAGTATATTAATGAGAAAGTAAAAGTATGTTTTAGATTTACTATCATTACCTGACTACCTTAATGATGGGCACTTTGGTAAGAAATAACATTTTTCTGTTAAGACAGCACCCAAACTGTCTCTGACACTGGTAAGTTCAGTACATGTATTAATATTTGGTAATGCAGATTTATTTTTGCAATGGAGCATACAGTGTTGGTTAATGAGCCCCAAGCTACAACTTGTTCAGTGTTCAGACTCTGGCTTTATCAGGTACAGTCTTTGTGTCCTGAGGCAAAAGTCATTTAACTTTCTGTTCCTCAATTTCAAATCTTTTTTAAAAAAATTATTTATTTTTATGAGCATGGGGGTTTTGCCTACATGTATGTAAATGCACCACATGCATGTAATGTCCAAGGAGGGCAGAAGAGGGCACTGGATCCCCTGGAACTGGAGTTAAGGACAGTTGTTAGCCATGATGGGGATGCTGGGAACCAAACCGGGTCCTCTGCAAGAGCAACCAGCTCTCTTAACCACTCTCTCCAGCCCCAATTTCAACTCTTTTATTTATGTATTTTTCCTTACATTTATCATTTTCCTTACCTTTTATGCACACACATGTGCCGTAGGTGTGGTCATCAGAGGACAACTGCAGAGGGTAGATTCTCTACTTCCACCATGTGGGTCTCAGGGATGGAACTCAGGTTGTCAGGCTTACAGGCAAACACCTTTATCTGCTGAGCCATCTCACTGACCCCAAACCATTTTTTGGGTTTTGTTTGTTTGTTTTTAAAGATAATAGTATATGTATTCCAATCCTGTTTATAAGGATTTAAAGAGTAAAAACATGAAGTTCTTTGAATCTGGCGACTACAACCAAGCCTTTACTTTGTAATTAGGGAGACAAAAATTCTTGTTTTCAAGAAGGTTGCTGCAGCCTGCTTATAGACACAGAGGAAAAAAAAGAACTTAGACTGCAATACAACAGGGTAGAGTGGTGTGATCACAGGACACTGTGAAGCATGGCCCCTCCTTTTGAACAGCATAAGGCCCATGTTCTGCAGGCAGGGATGGAGGGCTCTGCAGATCCCTCCACTTTTCTTTTGCGTCCTGACAGAAATACAGAGTACCTTGACCGCTCTGTGACCTGGCCAGCTGCATGTGCTTTTTCCCTACAGGCTTGACCCAAGTTGGGGCCTTGAACATTCCCAGCCACCGATAAAGCTGAGTAGGTTATTTCCTGCAGCAAGGAAACATGAAAATATGTTGCTTAACACATAGAAACAAGCCCCGGCCCTGAGCCACATTCCTTAATTCCTCCTATGGACTTTGAACTGATCCTGCTGGTGTTTACTGCTTTTTTCCTTTGGAATTTCAGCTAACCTCATCTCCAAATGGTTTGGCAAATCCCTTCCAAGAACTCACTTGCCACCCCTTCTGGGGCAATGCCAGCCTAGGATTCAGATGGCTAAGACTTAAAGAACAGGGCAGAGAGAGGGAGAGCCTTTTAGAAGAGCAAGAGAGAGTCCATCTTTCCCAGGTGCTTTGGGGAGTCTGACAGGGCTGGGTCATGAATGGCAGTCAGCAGAAAAACAGGATGTTAAAATGAGATAAAATCTTTGTCACCCTGCAAGACTTTGATTCTATTCTGAGGCTAGAAGGGAGGCATTATCTAGAAAAGAGACTTGATTAACATTAAAAACAATCATTGTAATAAAATGGGCAATTAATTAATTAATTGGTAATTTAGAAGGTAAAACCAACAGAATATGCTGGTTGACTGCCATTGAGAGGAAGCATAAAATATGGGTAAGAATATGGCCTTCCTAAATTTCTACATTTTCCCCCTTACTATGTAACTTCAATTCTATGAATGTCAGACTGATATCAGTGAGATTAGCTTCACATTATCAAATTGGACTTCATAGGTTTGTGGAAGTGAATTAAATGACATTAAAAAATAGAAAGCACTTAACGGTGTATTTATTCTTTGTTTTAGACCAACAAATAGTAAAATAAATAGAATAGTACTCATTTTTATTTTGTTTTTTTGAGATAGGGTTTATCTGTAGTGCCAGCTGGCTTGGAACTCACTATATAGACCAGGCTGGCCTCGATCTCTGAGAGATCCACCTGCCTCTGCCTCCTGAGTGCTGATTAAAGGCATGCACCACCAGGCCCGGATAATATTACTAATTTTTTATAAGGCAAACAATATGATTTAGGTAGCCAGGTTTCAGTCAGACTATTTAGCCTTCAATCCCTAACCTGCTATCTATAAGTTATGCATACTTTAAAAAGTCACTCATTTGATGTCTCAATTTTAGTATTTGTAATGTTGATGCAAAACACGTCTCTCACTTGTGAGGGAAAAGAAAGAGCTTATTCTTAAGCCAAATGTGAGCAACCATGCCCAGGGATACAGATTTAGATAGCCCGAGTATCTGTGAAGTGGATACATGAGCATTTATTAGTTACATAATTTTTTTAAAGTCATAAATTGATGCATTTGCCAAATACACTGGTGGGCACCACAGGTTACAGCAAAGAGGGGGAAACTTTACTCGTGATGCTCATGATGGACCTTAGCTTTGGGGTTGGCAAAAGTTAGGGTCTGTATGAAAACATTTTAAAGGGGGGCTGGAGAGATGGCTTGGTGGCTAAGAGCACTGGCTGCTCTTGTAGAGGACCTGGGTTCAATTCCCAGAATCTACATGGCAGCTAACAATCATCTGTAACTCCAGTTCCAGGGGATCTGATGCCTTCTTCTAATTCCAGGGGCATTACATGACACAGGTGTACTTTCATACATTCAGGCAATACACTCAAACACATAAAATAAAAATATTAAATAAAATATTTTAAAAACACATTTTAAAGGTTTTACCTGATAGTCCAAAGGATGTTGGGTCCTATAAGAGGAGGTCAATGAGTGGCTATCAAGCAGACTAAACATAGCCAAAGAAAATTTGGCTCTGGATCCACAACATTCCAACTTCCTACAATCATGAAGTTCTAATCAGCATTCAGGATTCAGTCTTGTTGAATCTTCAACACAGGTGCAGCATTTTTTTCTGGGAACTTTGGTTTACAATAAAACGAAAATAACAGCACCTCTCTCACAGTGTTATGGCATGGGAGATATGAGACAATTCAGGTACAATACTAGAACATTAATTTACATAAATATTTATTGAGTGTATGTACCAGACTGTGTATTTACCAGTGGTAAATAAAATAGGTTGAAATTAAAGAGCCTTCCCTCAAGGATCTTAGTTTCAAATAACAATAATAATGTCTGGCATATAAAGTGTTACGTGATAGCTCTGCTTTACAAAGCATTCTCCTGACAAATTTTGTGGTCTTAACCTAAATCGTTTCTATCGTTTTTCTTGTACAAAAAGAATAAGACCACAAATATTTACAGTAATATGTTGGCCATAATTATAGAGACATTCCAAGAGAACTCAGACATTGGGGAAGGTACCAGAAACTAGGAAGTTGAAACACACATTTGATAAAAAGTCTACAGATGTAACTTTGAATTCTTTCATCCAATTCTTTTTTTTGCTTAAGAAAAGCTGTGCCAGTTCGCCAGTACCTGTTAGAAATCTTCCTAAGAAATTATGCTTATAAGTCTTTCGCTTAAGCCACCACAAAAAATACAAAGAACTTGGGGAATGGAGACGTAGCTCAATTGGTTGAGTGCGCACCTAGTATGCCAAGGCCCTGCACAACATAAACCAGGCACAGTGACACGATACCCAGCACCAGGTAGGTAGAGGCTGGAGGATCTGTAGTCAAGAAGACTACTGTTCTATGCAAACAGTAGACATTTTGAATGTATTTACTACTTCAAATGCCCCTGAAGCCAACAGTCGCGGGGATTTTGATAACAAGTGGAGGTGGTTCATCAAAAGGAAAGTGAAGACTGATAAGTCGGGCGCAACCTGGTAGAGCAAGGCCTGGGCTGTCTGTTACTAGGCAACTGATTCCACCTTCATCCAGAAATGCGGGAACATGAACAAGGTGTGACCTGGAGGGTGGCCACCTTCCTTCGGCGTACCTGTACAGAGCTGTTGTCTTATTTTGTTCACAGCTGGAAAAAGGTAAGGGATATCATCACTGGGGACATATTCATCCTCTGGGTGTCAGGACCGGAAGTTCACCCTCCGGTCGAACCCTGGTAAGGTCAGGGACTCCCTGCCGGCCTCGGAGAACTCTGTCCCCAGAGGAGTCCCGCCCACTCTCGGGGGCTAGGACCCCAGCTAGCCCCGCCCCTCTGGAGTTCTCGCGAGCGTTGAGGCAGCGCGGGTTCGTAACTTCCGGCCGCGACCCATCGGCTCCTCGGCGATTGGCTCTTTGCCTCTCCGCCGGCCGCTTGACGCGCCGGCCCGGGCTTGTGTTCCCACGTGTGTTGCGGCCTGGAGGCGCCAGTGAGCCGGGGTTCGGCTTCCGCGGTCCGGTGGAGGGTGTCGCGGCGTCAGCATGGTGAGCTAGCCGCGGTGGGGCGCGCCGGGCAGTGCGGAGGCCGGCAGCTCCTGGGACGGGTGGAGACGCGCCGCTGCCCGAGGCCGGTCGCCCTCCCACCCCGGGCGCACTTGGCCAGGGGAAGGAAGGTTTCCTTTCCAAACCCCCAGGAGCCTGCATTTCGCGTGGCTTAAGTTAACTAAAACTATGTGACATCCCACAGCGATGCTCCGCCCCCTACTTCCGGGATCCGCGGAGGCCACTTGGTTGACTTTTCAAAAGTTCAATCGAAAAAAATTTATTGGAGGAAAAAACTTAACAAATTAAAGAAATCTGCAATCTTTGAAGACCTTGCAAATTGTGGTAATTAAAGTGAGAGTTTGCAAACATTCGGAAGGCATTGTTTCCCAAGAAATAAAAGGAAGTTCAGAGAGCTCAGATTGAATCAATGATTGTGATAGGCTCTCATTTGGTAACCCAGGCTGGTTCGAAGCTCACTATGTAGCCCAGGCTGGCATTCAACGCATAAAAATCCTGCCTCAGTTTCCAGGGTGCTGGGATTATAGGTGTGAACCACCACACCCAGCCCAGAGAATCAGTAATGTTAATTGGGAAATTCCGTTGCTGTCTTTTAAATATGCCATTTCTTTTCACTTTTATTAAGGTCTAATTTTCAGAAAGTATATTTCTGATGTATGGCTTGTAGGTGTAGATATTTGCAATGATTAAATCAAAGTAATTAGCATTGAAAAAATTGTTGAATAACAAGGTAAAAATATAGGCGGGTGTAATGAGTCTAATTAAGCATTAGCTGTCTGTGTGCTGGTTTTATTTACTAGTTGGTAGGTGTGATATTTGCCATTTTTGGAGCTGTCTCCACATCTTGTGGAAGGCCCATTGTCTTGCTGGTTCAACCTGTAGGGGACCTTCCCAGTCTAAAGGAACTTTGGGCATTTACACATCACCATTTTTTATATTCTTCACTTAAAGTCATCATCTTGTAGATTTGCTTGCCACAAACAGGGATTTTCTCTGACTTTCCCACTGCCATATTCCCAGTTTCTATGAAAAGGTGTCTCACAGAGTAGTTTGTTGAAGAAGATGAGTATGGATTCTACAGAACAGGAGCTAGTACCTGAGCTAGACCCTAGACATGTGGCTCTGAAAAACCTGTTCATCCTTTGCATCATTTACCAGAAGATTCATGTCATGTGACTGTATTGGTCACTGTTTTGGGGGGTTCTGTTTTAATGACTTTCTGATTACTTTGTAGCCTCACAGAAAGAAAAAACCCTTCATAGAGAAGAAGAAAGCTGTGTCTTTTCACTTGGTCCACCGGAGCCAGCGAGATCCTTTAGCAGCGGATGAGACGGCACCCCAGAGGGTGCTCTTGCCCACACAGAAAGTAGGTCTTGTTTTGTAGTGGGTTTTCTTCTGTTTTATTGTGCAGGAGATGGAACCTAGGGCCCTTGTGTATGCTCTGCCACTGAGCCACACTCTTACCTCCTGCTAGTTTTTAGTACCCAGATGTCACACTCAGGTACTTGGCCTTTCAGAAATGAGCTATCGCTCAGTTTTCAGACAATTTGCTGATTTTTATCATGCATATTTATTTTGGTTGACAAAGGCTTAGATTTTTTTTAATAAACAATTTATAAAATACTAGTGAACACTCACTAGCCCACAAGTTACAGTGCTACATGATAGAATTTAGGGTACAGCCATGTGCTCAATCTCTGCTTCATTTTGGCCCTGCCATGTTAACAGTAGCCTGGAGCTTGTATTTTGCCTCCTGGTCATTCGTCTTATGAAATAGAAAATATCTGAGCTCATTGATTAGGTTTAAAAATGCTAGGGAGCCTGGAAAAGGTTGATCTGGTTTATGTTAGAGTCTATGTGTTAAAGATGGTAGTATAAGAAAGTATCAGGAGACATTTTTTTAAAAGCCATTTCCCCCACCGAAGAGGGGTTTTTTTGTTGCTGTTTACAAGTACTAGAAACCATGCTTACCTCTCAGCATCCCCAGGTCTTTCATTCTAACTGTGTGTGCTATGTACATTTCTTAATTTGAATCATATAGATTATCTAGTTGAAGGAATTGTTTCATTATTGTTTTGTTGCATAGGTGCTTGTTTTACTTTGTCTTTGAGACAAGGTCTTGCTATACTGTTCAGGTTTGTCTTACATTCACGGGTTCAAATGATCCTCAGCCTCTCAAATGTTGGAGACTAAAGACAAATCCTGCTGTGCCTGGACTGTTTAGATTCCATTTTAGTTTTATCTAGCACTCTGGTTTAGAAGCTCTGCAGTTTGGGTATTGAGAATTCTTTGTGTAATCCCTGCCAGGCAGTGTTCGTGTGCCATCTGCCTCCTGTTCTCAGAGTTGTGCTTGCTGAAAGGGTCCTGGGCCTTATCCATGGAAGGGAAGCTAATTCCATCTTGTTTCCAAGGTAAATGACGAAGAAAGGCGAGCTGAGCAGAGGAAGTACGGTGTATTCTTTGATGATGACTATGACTACCTGCAACACCTGAAGGAACCATCTGGGCCGGCAGAACTCATTCCTAGCACTTCCTTCAGCGTGTACAACAGCAGGGATGAGCAGGAAGAAACCTCAGTGATTCCAGTAAGCTTTCTTAGAAGTTTACATGTGCAGGACAGAGTGTGGGAGTGAGGAAAGACCACTGATTCATTTTAGTCATATCTGGGGCAGTACATGGTGTCAGTATGAAGCTCACAGATATCATGTCTCCACCTAGAATTGGAAGGTGTGTGGACATCTACACCATCAGGAGAGAGTAGGCTATTCCTTCTGTGGTGATAGGTGTCAAAATGAAGAGCCTTTTGACAGGTTCAGAATGTTCAGTCTTGTCAGGCAGTACTTTCCCACAGAAGAAAAGCAGCTGACATTCTGCATTCTAACATCTGCTTCATGATCATCATAAATTGTTCCAGGTGTTAACTTTTTAGATGTTTAATATATTTGTGAAAGCTGCAAGCTAGCATTAAAAAGACTGGCATAAACACGTAGCTAAATGACTGTTGATCTCAACAAAAGTGCACACCACTTTATTGATACTTGATCTCAAATAAGATTGGTTATTTAAATGAACGTACTGCTACCGATAGAAATCCCATCCCCCGATTTACTTTGAGGATGCCCATGTTGTATTCCTCTTTTGTCTTTAGTTTTATGCCTGGCACTTAAAGAAAACATTTGCTGAGATTGTAGACAAAAAGGAAGAGATGGGAGGGGAACCAGTTCCCTATGGTTTCTGGTGTCTTAATCCTCTCCATTGCGCATTCCTTTCCTTAGAGAAAGGTATGGTCATACATAACTTGGCAGTCCATAGGCCATCACTGAATGAGATTCTGGAGTTAGACTTTAGGGTATCGTCACAAAGAAAGAGGTGATACCTGCAGCTGTCGGTTCTTGCCACTGTCACATCTCTGTCACTGAGTGGCTCACTTCCTTCTCTTACCCACAGAGGGAGAAGAGGGGTCTCCTGCTCAGCTGCTTTCTCTTTCCAGCGGAGAAAATTTCAGTAAAGTGATAGCCTTGTTCAGGCTGAATTGCATTGAACATAAGAGTAGCTGTAAATGCTTAATTCATTTTAGGTAAAAGTAATTACTTTTTTTTTTTTTTTTGACAGAATAAGACTGTTAAGTGGGCAGTTCACTTACATTTACACAGACAAGTGAAATGTATTTTAAAACTAAAGTACTGGGCTGGAGAGATGGCTCAGGAATTAAGAGTACTGGCTGTTCTTGCAGAAGATGCGGGTTCCAATCCTGCCACACACATGGTGGCTAACAACCATCAGAAACTCGAGTTCCAGGGCATCTGATGCGCTCTTCTCTCCTCTGTGGGCACTGCACGACACAGGTGCACTTACATGCAGAAAAAAAGAGTGCCATTGACCCACATGTATAAAGATGTTGTATTGAAACAGTGCTCTACGTGCTAGCCTAAAAACATTTTCTAAGTACCATTGATTTTACTTTGTAAACATGTTCCTCAATCAAAAATGCTTTTTGGCCTTGAATTTGTAACCACCAAAATTGACTAGATGTCTAAGGCATAGAAGCCTTAAGACCCAGAGAAAGGAGCCCAGGAATGACTAGTGCTTGAGCTTGCCTTCATTTTCACATTAAGGAAAAGGTGCCACCACAGTGGTTAGTAGACACTAACCTGCAAACTCAGTATAGTAGCAATTGCTATGACCAGTAAAAACACATCTGAAAAGGAAAGTGAACACTGTTGAAACTGTGCTGGGTTTTGTCTGCTTGAATTTGTGTGGACCTTGTACATGTTGACACCATTGATGTAGGTTCATATGAGAAGAGACCAGGAACCTATAGGACTCTATTTCCGTATGGTCATGCACCTCCTCCCTGGCTCTTACAATCTTTCTGCCCCATCTTCTGCACTGGTCCCTAAGCCCTGGGTGGGTGGATTTTAATATAGGAGACCTGTCCAAGGACCCACACTCTGTAAATGTAAGGCTGCATATTTTGTATATAGTAAGAAATTTACATTTGTCTAGGGATGTGACAGCCTTGGGGTTTTCTGTAAGATCCATGACCTCTCCAACTATGTGTTTTTGGCTAAGTTTACAGTACCACACCTGAGTTTCCTCCCATCTAGTGGACTTTTTTTTTTTTTTGGCTTTTTGAGACAGAGTTTCCCTGTAGCCCCAGCTGTCCTGGAACTCACAATGTAGACCAGGCTGGCCTCGAACTCACAAAGATCCGCCTGCCTCTGCCTCCCAAGTGTTGGTATTAAAGGCGTGCGCCAATACACCTGGCCTTGAGTGGACTTTTAAGTCCAATTAGGTAGTTGTTGATTACTCCCAAGATAAAAGTGCCACTACTGCACCAACGTCGTTTGCTGTCATTGATGTGGTTTTAGGCCTTAAAGTGGGGGTTGAGCCATGAATTGATGTTATCCGTTAGCAGCTTGGGTAGTGCGCTCCAAAGCTGTGAGAGCTAGCCTTCAGGGGAGGTGGCTTCCAGGTCAGTTCCCGCCCCATTGCTCCAAATCCTGTGTCCAAAATATGCCTGTCTTCAGCAGACGGATCTTACCTTCAAGCTCAGGAAGTCAATCAAGGGCTGTGGCAATAACCTGTGTAATTTTGGGAGTCTCTTGGGCCACTGGCCAACAACTCACAGGAAGGGTTTTCTTGTTTGCCACTGTTTGTTCTGTAGCCTTCAGCTATGCACATGGACTCATGTAATTTTTCAGTGGGTTTTTGGACTAATACAATTCCCTCTGGTTTTTTATACTAGGTAGGCATTATTTATCCCCTCTCTCTCTCTCTCTCCCTCCCTCCCTCCCCACCATCACCATTTGAAGTGTCCCCATGTTCCCCATTTCTCCCTTGATAACTCCTGTCTGCTATGGTCCCACCTCTCCAGCTCCTTCTTCCCCTTTATTCCCATCGTTCCTTGTATAACCCTCCTTCTCCCCCACCCATTTAACTACTCCCATTTTACACATCTCTCCTTTAGTAACACCTGTCTCCTACTGTTCTCTCTCAGGTTCCTTCTTTCCCTTTACCTCCCTGGTTACTTTTCATACTCACATAAAGGATTTGGTGCTAGAATCCACAAATAAAGGAGAACATATATCTTGTGTTTTTCAGAGTCAGTGTTATTTCACTTAGTTTAACAGTTTCTAAATCCATCCATTTACCTGCAAATTTCATGGTTTCATCTTTCTTTACTGCTGAATAGAACTCCATCTTATAAATGGACCGCATTTTCATCATCCACTCATCAGTTAAGGGAAACTTGGGTTGCTTCTCTCTCTTAGCTATTGTGAAAAGAGCAGCAACAAACATGGATGTACAAGTGCCTGCAATAGGATGAGTCCTTTGGGTATATGCCAAGGAGTGGTATAACTGGGTCATATGGTAGGTTAATTTTTAGTTTAAGAGTTCACCACCCTTCTTTCCATAGGGGTTGCACAAGTTTGCAATCCCACCAGCAGTGAATGAGTGTTTCCGTTTCTCTACATCCTCACCCTGCATTTGGTATCATTTGTTCCCTTGATATTTCCCAATCTGGCTGGAATAAGGTGAAATCTTCGTGTTTTAAATTTCCATTTCCCTAATAACTAGCAATGTTGAACATTTTTTAAAATGTTTCTGATTTAAGAAAAATATTATCTTTATTTGTACAAGTATAATACCTACATGTATGTGAGTTCACCTGTGTTGTACAATCCTGTAGAGGTCAGAAGAGGGCATCGGATTCCCCAGGAACTGGAGTTAATGACAGTTCTTAGCCACCATGTAGGTGCTAGGAATAAAACCTGGATCCGTAAGATGTTTCTTAGCCATCTTTATTTCTTCTTTTGAGAACTCTTTATATATTTAGCCTATCTTTTAATTGGGTCATTTGTTTTCTTGATTCTTTGGTTTTTGTTTTTGTTTTGGTTTGGTTTTTGAGTTCTTTATTTGTGCTGGATGTTAAACCTGTCAGATGTGTCACTCGTAAAGATTTTTTCCCACTCTGTGGGTTTTCTCTTTACTTTCTTGATTGTTTCTTTTGCTGTACAGAAGCTTTTTAGTTTAATGAGCCCCACTTGTTGATTACTGACCTTAATTCCTGAGGAACTGATGTCCAATTTAGAAAGTCCTTTCCTACACCTATGTTTTGTAGGTTACTGCCAATGCTTTCTTCTAACAGTTTCAGAGTTTTGAGTTTCATACTGAGGGCTTTGATGCATTTGGAGTTGACTTTTGTCCAAGGTGAAAGATAAGGGTCTAGTTTCATCTTTCTATAGGTGGAGATCCAATTTTGCCAGCACCATTTGTTGAAGATGCTGTCTTTCCTCCATTATGTGTTCTTGGCACCTTTGTCAAACATCAGGTGGCTGAAATTGTATGTACTCAAGTTTAGGTCTTCAGTTATGTTTCGTTGATCTTTGTGTCTGTTTTGTGTTGGCACCATGCTGTTCTTATGACTATAGCTGTGTAATATGGTTTGAGATCAGGTATAATAATCCCACCAGCATTGCTTTTTGTCCTCAGGGTTTCTTTGGCTATCTGGGATCTTTTGTGCTTCCATATGAATTGTAGGGTGGTTTTTTCTAATTCTGTGAAGTATGTCATGGGGATTTCAATTGGGATTGCATTGAATCTGTATATTACTTTTGGTAGGATGGTCATTTTCACAATATTAGTTCTTCCAATCCATGAGCATGGGAGGTCCTTCCATCTTCCGGTGTCTTCCTTGATCTCCTCCTTTAAATATTTAAAATTTGTCATTATAGAGACCTTTGGCTTTATTTTTTGAGGCAATTGTGAATGGGTTTCCCTGTGTTCTTTCTCCACTTGCTTCTTATTGGTATAGAGAAAGATGATTTTTGTAGATTAATTTTGTAACCTGCCACTTTACTGAAAGTGTTTATCAGTTCTAGAAGTTTTCTGGTACAATTTTTTTGATATCTTAGGTGTAGTATCATTGATATCTTAGATGCAGTATCAGCTGCAAAAAGGGATAATTTGACATCTTCCTTTCCAACTCATACTCCTTTAATTTCCTTTATTGTCTTATTGCTCTAGCAAGAGTTTCAAGCACTATATTGAAAAGGAGTGGAGATAGTGGACTAGTTTGTCT